AAAAAAAAAAAAAAAAAAAAAAAAAAAAAAAAAAAAAAATTCGAGCCAAGCACAGAATATAAGGGCAACATAAATAACAAATAAATTCACAGACTAGATTCTTGTATGACGATCAATTCAAACTACTTTTATCTCTAAGTTGTCTGAGAAAGCTATTCTTAAAATTGTGTTCGCTAATTCTGAGACACAACGTGTAACATAATATTCCTCTCTTTCTATAAATATATAAATTATGTATAATAAAACTGTTTTAAGGCTGTGATAAATATATCAAAATGCTGTTCTATTGTACTCAAAATTAGTAAACTGTCATCATAGACGTATACGTATAGACTGAATGTAACGCTTGACAACAATGTAACAATGTGAAAACATTCGCTCGGCATCCGTACGACGGATTAAATGCACCAACGTCGCGTCTTTGAACGCATATTTTTTGTTTCTTTTGGTATACACGGTGAGTAAATGGATGCGTTCAGACAACTCAACGGTTGAGAGGTTCTTAATCGACATTTATGCAAAAACCTATGTTTACGAGCGCCGATTATAATTGGCATTCACATAACAAGTTGAACTAAAGTTGGCGCTTGTTTTATTTTGCATTAATTCGGTTTTTAATTAACATTTAAATTATTTTATAAATTACACATATTTATACAGCCATAACGAAAGAGTTAATACGTAAAGATACAACATTTTTACACTCCTCTTGCAAGAAGTTTACTAGCTTTAACTATATCCCATCTTATTAGAGAAAGTGACGCGATCTTTCTTAAAGGAATTATTTACACTCTCCACTTTTTGTTAATATACTCACAAATAAACTTTATTGTTTGCAGCAAATATAGTTATATTATTTACACATGGTGTTTACACAACGCATTCTTTTGCATTCTTCAATATAAAATGTTACATCGTAATTTTAGAAATAATGTACAGTTGTTTTTAATATCGCTATACGAACCGCTTCTGATTTTCCTATAGAAAGTTTACTTCTTTTTACGATCTAATGTACATTTGGGACAATACCACTTTCCTTTAGGTTTTGTAGTTAAACCTACACAGGCGAAGTGGAACCACTCAATAGGGCACTGGAAAAGAAAAATGAACGGAATTAATTACGTCAACACAATTATAAGATTTTCTACATTTAGAAGAAGTAAAAGAGCAAGACTACAACTTTAAAAAATAGAAATATTCACAGCCTTCCTATATTTTTATCTTAAGTCGATGATAGTAATAAATAAACAAGTTTTGTGATTGAAGTTTTTATGAGAAGTAGATTTAAAACAATATAAAAGAAGATAAAATGACACAAATGCAGCTCCAACTTAGAAGTCGTGCATAAAAATATTTAAAAAACACCATTGTGTTAAGATATAGATAATGAAACATACATCTGGATTATCACAACCAATCATTTCTCCATATGATACTTGATGACATAGACAGTAAGTTGGTTCATTAGGATCAACCGGCATATCTAAGACGTCGGCTGGGTGTCCAAGTGCTGTCGAATCTACTTGAACACCACCAGCAGTAGCACTAGTCGAGGATGCTGAAGCCACAGAGCCACCTAATAAAAATGCACACATTTATATCAAATATATAAATAAAAAAAATAAAAAAATAAATAAAGCTTGCTATATAAAACCTTTTTTTTGTTTTTTCCTTGCATTTTTGCCTTCGTCATCACTGCTAGCTGTATTGCCTTTTTTTCTCTTTTCTTTTTCTTTAAGTTTCTTTCTACCCTTTTTGCTGGCATTGCTCTCCTCTATAGCTCTACTGCTATTTATTGTCATATCCTGTATTTCTGCCTCAAATCTTACCAGATCTGAATCCAATCGTCTAATATGCTTATCAACTAATTCATAAGTTTGAATAGCTAATTGAACCTTGTCGTCTCCATATTCTTTAGCCTTGTTAAAGAGATGTTGAATATGAGAAAGCTCCTCTTTCTTTTTTTCTTTTGCTTCTGTTGATGAGTCTTTATTCTTTGCATTCTTCAAGAACTCATCTGCTAGCTTGTCAATATCTTTCATCAATCCTTGAGCTCTAGCATCTAAATCTCTCATCAAAGTAAAATTTCGTTGCAATTCAATTGGTAAATGCTCAAGACCTACAATATGACATTTCTCTTAGTTATAATTGAAAGAAGCATTTTTTATACAATGATTATTTTCTATAAATAAATAAATAAATATATATATATATATATATATATATATATATATATACACATACATATATGTATGTACGTTGTGCATGTATATATTATAAATTTATAAAATAAAAACTATAATTTAAAATATTATTCTCATTCTTGTAAAACAATATGCGGTAGTATCTCTGTTCTAAAAAATTGATTAATAAGCATATCTACTTACATATAGTATGACACAGCATATATCTTGATAAAAAATATTATATTGTGAAGTAACTGATAGATATTTTATTGTTTACAAATTGTTCAATAATTTTTTTATTATAAAATTAATTCTTAATTAATTTCTTAATAATTTCTCATGAAATTATCATAAACTGTAATATAACTTGCAATTTATCTTAAAATTGACAGATTTGATTTTAAATTTAGTTTGGATATCTACATGCTTGAGGATAAAATAAATATTGTTTTTTTTTCACAATTTTATTATCTTAGTCATTAAGATATACATATATCAACAAAAGTATTGCATACAAAGCAAGCAAAAGTTTGTTTGCTTTGAGAAGAAAAATTCAAAGAAAATGATAGAACATAAATTAATCCTTTGTAGTCAAATGTGGGTCTCCTAGACCCACTTAGAAATTGCGCACCGGTGTTTCGAGAAAATTTTGTTTTTTAAACGCTTATATCTTCGAAACTACTAGAAATTTTTTTCAATTTGTGTTTTTGATCGACGCAGAAGTGTTCAGACTTTCGATTCAAGAAAAAGAAATTGAAAAAAATAATTGATTTTTTACAGAAATATTTGATCTTAAAGTCGTATGAATCTCAGACCAGGTCTGGGCTGTGTTCAGTTAAGCAAGATGGAACGAACTAATGCAGGAAATGCAGGAAATGCAGGAAATACAGGAATTGGAACTAATGAATTCCTGTATTTCCTGCATTTCCTGCATTAGTTCGTTCCATCTTGCTTAACTGAACACAGCCCTGACCAACTCGTCATTTTTGAAAAAGTCTGACCACGAAGGATTAAAAATAACAGAAACCGAATCATAATTTAACAATTTTTCGTATTGTTTTAAAGTTTGTTTTATAATTTGTACACAACAAAACACACCATTACATAAAATAGCGAATAATCCAAAATACTTACTGTCAAGATAATGTTCTAAATACAGCGCAGTCGTCATGGTGGTTGTATCTTCTTCTTCTTCTTCTTTGCAATTATGGGTCTGTAGACTTACTCTGTTAGTCCATACGCCAATCTGAGTCTAAATGTAAATTATTCGTTGAAGATGAATTGGTGTGGGACGCCAAATTCTTTCCACAAAAAATCTTCTCTGTCACTACGCACAAATGACCGTTAACTCGGTCGCCATTCACTTACATTTATATCGGGGTTATATTGTATTTTCATCAGAGAAAAGACCGAGCGACCAAGGCCATAAGAAAATGTGTAATCACTGTAATAGCTTTTCCGTCCTGTAAATCTTCTTCTTCGCTATTATGGCTCATGCCCCATTAGTGGGTTTCAAGCAAATGCCAGTCAGGGCCACCAAACTGCGTGTACCAGCGTTAGTGGCGCCTTTTATAAAATGTACCTGGACTATATGAATTAAATACGAATGTGTAAGTGAATACGTGTGAACACGTTTCAACACGTTTTGCCGTTAGGGCGATGTCCCATTGAGCGGAAATATATAGCGGAACGGAATGTGCGGAACCAGCTCGACCAATCATAGCCATTCCGTTTTCTTTCCTTCGCTTTTTCTATGGTTACGATTGATCGAGCTGGTTCCGCACATTCCGTTCCGCTATAGATTTCCGCTCAATGGGACATCGCCCTTAGTTATACGCGACTACATTGTGCAGTTGTTAAATCATTTTTGTTAAGAGCCGTCTACAATGAAGAGTTGTAGGCCGTAACAGTAAGAAACTGACAAATCACAATCGATTATTCTTCTGTACTTCGTCTGTGATTGGTCAATTTCTTACTATTACGGCCTACAACTCTCCATTGTAGACGGCTCTTTAGGCGTTGTCTACAATACAGTCGTAAGCCGTAAAAAATTGACCAATTACAGACAAATCACGGAAGAATAATCGATTGTGATTGGTCAATTTCTTACGGCTGTATTGTAGACAACGCCTAAGGGCGCTAAAACCAGCGCCTGAAACCGTCGTAAAAAAGAGGAAAAACAGTCAAAGTGAGGATACTGCCTTCCAGTATGTATTCCTGCATTTCCTGCGTTCGTTCGTTTCCCCTAGTTCTTCCCCCCTTGCTTAAGGGTCGTCTACAATGGAGAGTTTTAGACCGTAACAGTAAGAAACTGACAAATCACAATCGATTATTCTTCTGTACTTTATCTGTGATTGGTCAATTTCTTACTATTACAGCCTACAACTCTCCATTGTAGACGGCTCTTAACTGGACACAGCCCTGCTGCCAACTGAATCCACTGGATACTGAAGGTGCAAATGTGAATTATCGATGAAGATATATAGCTGTTTCGTTGTTTGACACATTGTTGGAGTTGAGTGTCACTGTGTGGTGTGTGATATATATCAGATATATATAAAATGGCCAACATGGTTGCTTTCGTTTCTGGTAGGTCGAGGTGATTGCATTTATTCATCGAAGAAAAACAAGATGACTTTCCATTAATTTAGGACAGCGTACATCCTGTTGGTAGTCAAATCGTACCGGCAACAGGATTCGCCAAAGTTCATCGCGATCACCAAAGATTTCACCAATCGTAATAATTATACCGTTAAAAAAAAAACCTGTGAGTATACTTTTGACAACACATTTTTTAAATATTTTTCTCTTCACGTACATATAGATGAATGTAAATATGTATTATTTATCTGTGTGTCGCGCATTGCAGAATTTAAACAATCTATCTAGAAATATCTATAAAAACAATATATTGTAGAAATATTTCTTCTCGTATTGAGTTAACTATTGATTTAGTTTTGTAAGTTTTATAAAATTTATATGAAACTCTTATGAGAGAGCTCTACATTTTTTTCATATTTATTTTTTAGTTTAAAATTTTTTTAAATGTTTCTAAAATGTGTATTAACGCAGTTTTGCATTTTTTAATATAAAACGTTTTATTTTTATTTTTAAATGTAGTAAAGAATTCACACACATACGCACAAGACTATAGTCAAATATTGAAACTATATTTATCAGTTTTTGTAGCTCAAGATGGTGAAGTTGTATGCGTTATCTATTCTGTATAAAAATCCTACATCAGCAACTACATTAAAAGGAGCTTATGATGTAGAGTCGTTCTCGTTTTTTCAAAGAAGCAGTATTAAAGAATTCATGTGCTTTGTTAGTAAAACTATTGTAGAAAGAACACAGACATGTGCCAGACAGAGTGTTAAAGAATCAGGTATAATTTGTGACATATCTATATGTAACTTCTAATAAAGTTTTACAATTAGATCAGAGTTTTTCACTAGTAATTAACAAATATTATTAATTACTTACAGAGTACATGTGCCATGTATATGTGCGTGCTGATAATCTTGCTGCAGTACTCATTTCGGATCATGAATATCCCAGAAGAGTGGCACACACTTTGATCACAAAGATGATGGATGAGTTTGCAGTCAAGAATCCACCGTCGACATGGCCCTCATTGAAAGAAGTGACTACTGATTTCCCACAAATCAATGTATATCTAGCCAAGTATCAGAATCCGGTCGAGGCAGATGCGCTAACAAAAATGCAAAATGACTTGGACGAGACAAAGATTATTCTGGTAAAAATTGACGATTTGATCTTTTTTCTTGCTAAGATTAAGAGATTTCAAAACCAAGAGCTTTTTAGTCAAACTATAGATTAATGCAAATTAAATTCCTTCTTACATAAAAATGAATATTAAACACTCACAATTCTGTTCACATGTTTTTATCAGCACAATACCTTAGACGCGCTACTACAGAGAGGAGAGAAGCTGGACGATCTGGTTTCCAAGTCCGAAGGTCTCAGTGCTCAGTCAAAGGCATTTTACAAAACCGCGCGGAAAACCAATTCCTGTTGTAGCTTAGCTCCGTAGAATGTATATCTCTGTTTTTGCGAGCTTTGTCGCTTCGTTATTGATAAATGTGATTTCGAATTTTATAATTTTCTCATAATACAAGCAAATGCCGAAAATTGAAATGAATGAACATAAATTCATAGGAACAAGAAGAGATTTATATCCAAGAGACTTATATCCAAGAAGAGAGAAGGGGAGAAAAATGGTAAAAAAAAGATTACACACATATATATAAATATACATAAAAAGGGAATATTTTAGTAAATTTAAAAAAAGATTATATATATATACATATAAGAGAAACGAGAGAAGATGGATTTTTACCATCGATTTTTTGGCGGAACACATTGGTTTATTGAATTCGTAGAACATTTTGGAGAGAAAAAAGCAGCAAAAAAACCACTGCCGGTTCCTCTCACTTAAGTAAACTTTTTATACGCGGATATTGTGCATGTCCGTAGAATTCGTCTACCTGCAAAAACGGCCCTAAGTCATTGCGGCATACTCATATGGGAATTACTTCCGAAATGTTTAGAAAAACTGACTGATGGAACCTTAAGAATGTCAAAGGTCGCCTTAAACACATTCCGAATGCACCCTTTCTATGTATCCTTTTTATGTGCGAATAAAACAACCACGGGAGGTGCGAGGAGGTTTAAGATACAATTATCGAATCTGCGCAGAAATCTCGCAGATACAGAAAAATCATAAGTAAATTCTATAACGTGTTAAAATGTTCGCTCCAGATTTTAAGAACCCAGCTACAATTTTGATAGATCACATATTACACAATTTCTCCTTGAGTTTTAATTAACAAGTTTTTTTATATGTTGATATCAGATAAACAAAAATGACACTTTTCTCTGTCTACACTTGTACTTTTATATTTTCTATTGGAGTGAGCATGTTAGTGTAATATAAAGTTAACTTGCTACAATTGACCCTCCAGTGTACACACTGGGTTAGCGTAAGCCAGGGCGTTGTAATATCTTTTGCTTTGGACTATTTTTGACTTTCTAATATAGATTTTTTTTTTTTTGAGATGATGGGCTATCGATAGAAGAAAAAAGTCGTCAAAATGATTGATTGATTACAGCTCGAGTTATAAGCAAAAGAAAACGTCGGGTTACGCTAACCCATGTGTGGCTAAATAGGAACTTAGACATAATGTGTATACTGAGGGTTAAAAATAAGAGATGTGTCTCCGTACAAGTGATTAGATTGCAATTTGTCTACTTGTAACCACACACTTCACAAGAGTGAAGTAAATCAAAGAAACATTTTCTTTGTGATAAGTACAAGTTTTATAAACGATAAAAATTAATTTTTACAATCTTGAATTTCGCGATTTTACATAGTTTACACCGGGAAGTCAGTCATTAATATCACAACGTACTAGAATCAAATTCCATAGAAAAAATTCAATTGAAGTCGTTTGATAGTTTAATCTACTATATGTGCAATTCTTATCTTTTTCAACATACGGACTCTCTATTTAAAAATCATAAATGAATCATGAGTAAATATTATATAAATGTTTGCATTACATATTCTTGAGAAATATTAATGAAAGCTTACTGATTGTCAAAATTCCAACGTAAAACTTGATATGTGTCTTGAAAAAAAAAAAAACAAAAAAATATATATTCTGTGTATAATAACATTTACGTGACGATTATAATCTTTATACTCTATGTATGTTGAAGAGTATCATAAGCCAGTAAAAATATATATTAATATATATATATATATATATTTTCAAATCATGTGTTAAATGTTATGCGCGATGTCATGAAAAATAATAATTTATACATATGTAAAAACTACTTACAAGCAAAGGTGATTTTTATTTTAAATACGATATTTCACTGATACATCTGTTTCTGACATGACTTTATAGATTATTGTAATATTTATTTTCAATACGCTTATCAAGATTAAAATGCCACTAGTGCGGATAAATGTGACAATAGTATAAAGAGAAGAAAATCAATAGCCAAGAGTCGTTGGAAAAAACATTTGTTTCCTGGTGTTGACACAAATATTTATTTTCATTCTAATCATCGTTTACAAACTATTGTTTTCGCTTAAATATAGTTTCCTTGCTTTTATAACGTTGCACTGGCCTTCAGTTTCTCTACTTCGTTCTTTAGTATATCTAAATCCCGCGAATAAGGTATTAAAGTTCCACCAAGGGGCGGTTCGTCCCAAACTTTCCACAAAACTTTATCTCCCTGATCAGGATTAAATCCTTTCAAATACTTTTCTCCGGGTACCTAAAAATTAACAAATGCATATGGTTATTGTCTCAAGCTGGGGAAAATTAAAAAGATTGTTTTCTTATAGCATTGTTCTTACTGTAATTAATTGATTCATCTAAATTTTAATAGTTAATTCCTTAATATTTAGAGTATTGATATATTAATGGCATTATATTTTTTGCACTATTGTTTACACGGAAAAAATTGCATTGAAGATATAAACTTATTTTGTGTCTTATACATACTATTCTCATTATATCTTCTATTTCTTTGTCTTCCTCAGGAGTATAGTGCATTTCCGGACATGATAAGTCGTATCTCATATAATCTACATGGAGAAAATCTCTATTTATGCAAAGCCATCTCTTCCTTCGCAGCTCCTGTACGTTTTCAAACGTCCAATCTCTCATTTTTTTCTCTTTCTTGTCGTAATCGAAGTTCAACATCTCAATATCCTCAACCATGGTGGAAATATCACCCTTTTTTGTCCAGTCATAGATCAGCACGTGAGAATGTGTCGCAGCGTTCTTCAAATAATCCTGTTTGTATGTATTCTCAATGTCTTGTAGATAGTCTGTTGTCAACACTTTGCTATTCACTTCGTATGGTATACCACGTTTTTTAATTCTTTCCTGAGAATAATGTTTAATGCATGATTAAACAGAAACTAGAAATAATACAGAAAATATTCTAAATACATATTGACATTTTCTAAAACAGTAAAATTAATAAAAATAAAACCTTGACTGTGTCTACAGGTACATCCAGGTAAACGATTAAATGAGGTCTCATCATCTCTAAATGAGTAAATCTTGCAGTTTCTTGATAAAATTTCAGCGCTTGTGGGCGTAAGTAACCAGCATTTGCCATTGCTTTTGCGAACACAACATCGGAATAAAAAGATCGGTTTAGCACCACTCCCTGACCGGTTGACAACAAATGTAAAACGACAGTGATGTACTGATCATATCTGAATTGTAGGAAGTTAAGTTGAAACATGGGCACATTGACATGATGAGGATTTGTCAGAAATTTCTGGATATCGCACGACTGTGCACCCGGAGACAATCTGTCATCCAGTGTGCGCAGATCGTATCCGTAAGGATTTATGTAATAATCGTCGAAAGAGGGTGGTGGTACATAAACCATTTCAAACTCTTCTGCCAGTTTTGCAGCCACTTCAGACTTTCCTGCAGCAATAGGGCCGTCAACAACAATTATCTTGCTATTTTCGTCGCACCGATCCACCATTGGATCGAAAAGCTTAGCCCAAAAACCATACTTCTTGTTGAAGTAATCAAAAGGCGCAAGCTGTCGTCGACCTACTCGCTTTGACTTATGCGAGATGAATGCTACTTGCGTTACATTGCTGGTAGTTTTTACCTGTTACACAAATTATATATATACAACTTAGAAGTCTGACGGATAAAAAATAATTTTCTTTATATTAATATTAATTTTTGTACATCAATTCGAGTGTCATTTATATTATATAATAAGGATCTTTAATGTTATACATACATGAATATTGTTTATACTGATAATTCATTCGAGGATGATGACATAACAAATTGTTCCATATTTCTGTGCAAAACTGAAATACAATCTGTTAACAATTGTGTTAACACTAACCTTACATAACCGCCTAGTGAGATTATTGTATCCAATCTTCGCGATACCAACGCGAACAATTGATGCCATTTTCTTATTATAAATATATATATATCTCTGAGTGAAACAAATTTAAATGTTACTCGTTACACACATTTGTGAAAGAGACAAACATTGCTCGATATATTTGAGGTCTAGATGACCTAACCTTTTCCTTGCTCCATCGACTCCAACTGCTTGAAGTTGGTCGTTGGTCCGGATGATCCAGCGGTGCTCAATTCCCGGCTCCTCGGTTGTGGCAATAACGCTTGTTTTCGAAAATTCTTTCTTTCTTACGTGGTGTATTTGGCTCTTGTAAGTTGTCAACGCGAAACTCCCGTCGGTGGTATTCGAAGTTTCGCCAAATTTCATGGGCGAACGACTGGGACACGGAAGGGATAAGAGTGAGAGAAAATTTGGATTTTAGTGGACTCAGCGTTTTAAAATTGTTTGTCGTGTGGGTGGATTCGCAGAAGCGACAACGACGACAAGAATGAGCGAGCTTGTTTGGGGAATAAAGAACGGCGATCTCGAGCAAGTGCGAGATATCGTCGAGAACAAGGCAAATATGACATGTTGACTCTTTTTTTAAAAAACGTTTTAAAAATTTGCACGCACATTTTTTATTGTCATACGCTAAAAGTTTCACCATTCTTTGAACTGTATCAGAGATGTAATATTAAGAAGATACCTGTACACGTACTTCTAATTGCCGGAAGCACTTAAAGGCAGAAGCAATTATAGCATATTGACACATCCCTTTTGTTAGATGGAATTTGTATGATTAGACTATGATTTTGTTCACAGTTGAAGTTATTATCTGTTTCCTTTTCTCTGAGATACAGTTTGCAAATTAAAATAATTTATAGAGATTGTGTGAACAAAATTAAAAAAGTCTTTTTGCAGTTTTATTACACATTTAATGATCATTAAATACTAAGTTTTGTAAAATAAAAATGTGTGTTTAGCTAATCTAAATATTGTTATTCTTAGAATATTGATGTAAATCAAATGATTGATGGGAGAACACCACTACATTATGCGGCGGACTATGGCCAGAGTGAGGTTGTCAGATACCTGTTGGAAAAAGGAGCAAATGCTAATGTAAGTTATAATCAGAAAAACTTTTCTTGCATATAAAAAAAATTACATAATGCTACAAGTTTTGAGAGAAATAAAGCGTTGAATACACAAAAAATTACATATACAGGCAACAGATAAGCATGGAATCACGACATTGCTGGCAGCAATTTGGGAAGGACACACAAACTGTGTGAAACTGCTGCTGGAAAAAGGCGCTAAGCCAGATGGCTTAACGCCGGATGGCACGAGCTACTTGGATGCAGCTGAAAAAGATGAGATTAAACAGCTCTTGAAACTCCACTAGCATAAAACCAAACAAAATCAAGCGAAATCATAATTTTGTTACTTTAGTATGTTAATGTTCCTCCTTATAGAGAGAAAGAGAGATACAGGGAAAGAAAGAGAGTGAGAAAGAGTATTCTACTCCAGCTTTGTTTTTATTTCTCGCCTATGACGACTAGGGTATCGTATTTAAACGCTCTAAATGAGTATATAGATATGTGGATGCTGTTTTATAATAATATGATAATAACAATTATATTGCATGTCGAGAGAGTGTATGATAAAAGAGTTCACATTTATTCTTGCGATAATTAATTGATGGTTCTAAATACACGTATAAGTTACGAATTTACGATGACAAGAGAGATATTATTATTCTTCGCAACTAAGAAGACAAGTTACGAAAGTTAGTTTAGTTTAAACTTTACAGTCGTATGATATACATATAAATGTATTTTGATATATTTTATAAAAACAGTAAGCGGCTTTTACAATTGTTTGTTATTAATTTATAAATCCTGAGAACTTTTTTATACATTTTTACGTCGTAAATATATATTCCATTTTATACCTGATATTTTTGTCGCGGTAGATTCTCTGTATATTCTTAAGCAAAGTGCTAAACTCTCCTGTTGGGATTATTCGTCTGCTAAGTTGAGTTTTCCAAACGAGATATTTTGTATGTGTAAATTGCGATAAAAAAAAAAAAAAAAAGTAGTTTACATTTGTAATGCTAACGTCGTAATGTGTTTAACGAATGCTAAGAATGTACAATAATCAAAAATAATAAGTAAATACATAATTGTTATGAACATTGCCTTCTCGTTTTTTTTTTTTTTCATTCAATCATACACACACACACACACACAAAAGCTTGATCTTATATACTCAAAAAATTTATAAAATAGTAAAAAATGCTTTTTTACATTTATAAAAGTTCTATCTCTAGTTCTGACACAATAATTGAGATATTTTATAATTAATTATATGTCACTTTTTAAAGTGGTTTGTGCAAGTCGGAAGAAACCAATTATATAGACCATTTATCAGACTAGAAAAATATAAATTAAAATATTATAGAGAAACATGGACGTGCAAATACCTTTATTATCGTACATGTAAAAAGTATTGATGATGACATAATAATGATGACGATAATTTAGCGAGTTCACATGTCGTAAATTATGAAGTCTCAAATTTGCTAGAGTCAAAAACAGAATTTTATTTACATTTAAAATTTGTATTACCACACAAAATACACAGTTCACAGAAGACGGCCTCTGCAATTCCTTGCACCGCACTTGCAAACAATCACTTTGCCTGGTATACTTCCAACATCATAACTGTAATTCCACGTTAGTTCTTGTCCAGCTTTTATATATTGTAACGCGAAAAACGCTACCCACGGGAAACGCACGTCGTGTGTGTCGACGAAAACATTTTGCACGAAGACATTCGGATCGCAGGAGTGCTAAAACATTACGTAGTACAAGTTCAGAATATGTGAATTTTACATATAAATTATTATAAATATTGTATAAAATTTACGAGTGTATGAACGTTGACATTTAAAAAAGTTTTATATTTTTCGCATCAAATATTACAATAACAAACATATATAAATTGTAAGTCCACTTACATTCAAATAACGACCGATATTTCCGGTCGTTTTGGCATCCATAATATAAACAGCTTCATCTTCACCAAAATAGTCCCTCACAGATTTATGAACTGGTTTCTGTATTTGATTCGGTTCTACACTCGGTTCAAATCTGCTGGGTTCTCTCACATCGTTACTTCTGCTGTCATCATCGTCGCTTATATTAATTGTATCGTGATCTATTATACGATTCTCACTCGTTGACAACTTTGAACCGTCTGTCAAGTTTTTCACCATGTTTCCGTCTACACTGCTCTCTTCGGATACATCCGGTTGATTATCCGTTCTCTTTCTTTTTCGTTTTCGCAGACGTTTTCTGAGTAACAAAGAAAAAAAAAAAAAGAAAGAAAATACAAAAATACGGTAAAAATTACAAACAATACGAATTCATCATGAGTATAATTACCTGATAGATGAAGATTCTGCAGTTGTTTCCATCAAATCTATGTTATCGGCTACATAATTATTGATGTCGAAGTCTTCGTCGGAGTCATTAGCGCTTTCCTTCGCGGTGTCCTCTTCGTCGCTCACTTCTTTCACAGATTCTTTTTCTTTATCATTATCGTCTTCCCCAGCCGAGATCGGCATTTCCGGCTCGAGAACATCGCTTTCGTAACCCTCCTTGAAACCTTCTACTACTTCCACGTAATCCAATTCTGCGAGATACTCGTCGCCGTAATTTTTACCTCCTTCATTCGCGCCCTGTAACATTAATAAGAACAAAATTTAAAAATAAAGAGATAATTTTTACAAAAATAAGCAGAGTTACTTTTCCTTTTTTTTTTTTTTTTTCAGAAAGACATCTGTACCTGTTCGGTGAGTAATCTTCCTGCGTATATGCAGATGAAAGCGCCGAGGGGAATATCGTTAAGACATCTTATACCCCAACCACGCGGTCCCGTTTTAAATACCTGTAATTTTAACGCGAGAGGATGTTGCACGACTCTGTTGAGACACGTCTTCACGGAACATTTGCATCCCGAGTTACACTCGTAGATTCCGGTGGTAACCGGTTCAGGCAGACGTTTGTATATGTAACCAACCGCGATATTCGGCACTTTTCCTCCCAAAGTAGCACCTTGTATCGTTAATTGCCAACATTGACATTTTGTTTTATCCTTAAAAAAAAAAAAATAGAATTGTAGTAGAACGTACAAATTTGCTTTAGACAGTTACAAAAAAAAGAAAAAGAAAATTTTGATACCTGACAATCATCCTCGCAATCACAACTGCACAAGAACGCGGGATCGAGATTCAAATTAACACCTTCCGTTGGCTCGCGACGTGTCGTATATCTTATCGTGTCTGGCTGCGTGTGATCCAAGTCGTTCACGCACGGTATCGGCACATTTTCCACGCCATAACTGAGATCCTTTTAAATGCAAAAGCACAATGTTTTTTTTATTCATATTGTAATAACTACGTAATTTTATACACATATTTTATAAACAAAAATATCAATACACATAAATTTTCTTGCGTATTGTTATTGGATATTCGTAAATAAATTTAAAAATGTTAACGCAAATTTTGAGATAATTCACCTTGATGTTGATAAAACATTTCTCCACAACGAAGTCCGCGAAAGCGCGCACCCAGTAATCGAAATCGAACAGATCAACAGATAATGTACTAGCGGTTGCGCGAAGATAACGATGCAATTCTTCCATATTTCGTAATCTGACACCGCACGGTGCCTGATAAATGATGACTTTCTTGCCCTTCGAATATTTACAAAGCTGACGATGCCAACCGCATAATAAAGGTATTGAAAGCGGTGAGAGACCCTTCAAATCTTCATGCGAAACTTTAATGCCTTTGATGCACTTTGGCCCACACTTGTGAAGCACATATTTCTTCGGCTCGTATTTTCTCTGCGTACAGTAAAACTACAAACAAATGGTTATATATTAACATATGAAATGAATCAAGTAGAAAAAAAACAAAAAATAGTAATGTTGATTAATTATAATAAGACGACAGTTATATTTAATTAGTTGATTATACACGCGAGTCGTTACGTAATGTACTTACAACAATACTGTGTGATGGTTTTGTCTCTATGACAGGATTGTACGTTGTATTATCTACATTGCTTGGCCGTTTAGCAGTACTTTTTTTTGCTACCGCGCGTGATTGCTGCGGCGCAGCGGACGGCGTGTCAGATGCTGTGCTTGTTGCGGTTGTTGATTTTTCTTCCTGCACTTGTTGCGTTAAATCTTCTTCCACATTAGACGTATATTCAACGTAAGGTAAATTATTTTTCTATAAAAATCACACAAATTATGTATTAAAACTATTTTAACACTTTTAACGCTATTCGAAAAGCTATAGTGTAGTAGAAGTAAATGATTTGTTTGTTTGTTTACATTAGAAGTAGTAGGAATACGATGTCGGGTGTGCGTGGTGCCTAACTGTTGAAGTTTCTGTCTCGCATTGGCCTTCAAAACTTCGATGTACAAAGGAGCCAGTCTGGTCGATCCGCGATATATCCACTCGATTCTGTTATCGGCTTCGAATTGCATTTGCACTAAACTTGCGTCTATTTGTAACACTTTCGCGTTTCCCCATTTGCCCTTCCACTCAGTTTTAACTCTTTGACCCGGTTGTAGTTTTACCATTGGCCTCTCAGGATATGATTCCAAGTATTTCTTTACAAAGTCTTGCGTATCGCTAGGAACATCTTCCCAAACACGTAAAGACGGCTCCCAAATAGGGAAGATGTCTACATGATTAACGTATTGAGCATAACCATCATCAAAAAATATCAGATATCTGTAACAAAATTGTTATTTGATAAATAATTCAATACTATTAGTAAATTGAGAAATTTTCAAAATCTTCAAATAAAAAAGTTTTATTTCTTACGGAAACAAATAAAAATTTATTAAATTTCAAAAATCTAACGTCTTTACCTAAATTTATTCGAAACCTTTGGTGCTTCAGCAACTATTCCGCTGTAATAATTTTTGGCAAGTGTGGAATCGTGAAATACAGACACAACTCGAGTTCGAACTGGAATTATAACTGAACTCGGTTGAATCACTGCTAGATGTTTGCCAGGGACTGTCTTAACTGCCGCATTGTACTTTTTTCCGATTAGTTTTACACGAACGCTCCACGGATTCGTACAAATTATACTCAGTATCTATGTGAAAGATTCTTACATTTTTGTATTGTTTACTTTCTTATTCAATATTAAAATGTACATATAAAAAAAACACTTTTTATATGATACATAACAGAAAGTATACAAACCTTTGCTTTAATCCATGGCATAACAGGACTTTTCATGACAAGAATATTAAGATCAACTTCTGGTCGTCGTTTAAAGAATGGACCATTTGGTGGTAAATTAGGTATTGTTGTCTTATTACATGTTTTAATCGCCATGATGTCTGGCTGATCCTGTGGCAAAGTGGTCGATAGATGCTGTATTTGAGTTACTTTTTTTGTTGCTACGGTCAAATGAATATTCTCCACAGGCTCATCAGTTATCTGCAATTCTTCCAGCATTTTAATTTGTGGTCTAAAATCTTCATATAACTTATTACGCAGTTTATCCATATTACTCATCATGTTTAGTATTTCGGTATTAAGACTCTCATTTGTTTCTGTAAAAGATACAATATATAGCGCAGGCCTCATATTATTTATGTAAAAAAATTAAAATAGATAAAAAAGCAACTTACTATATAGGTTTTGCCATTTGTTTTTCAGTATGTCACATGCTACTTTGGTTTGCTGGTCTACGTTATATTTTTTATAAATGCTTGATAATGTATTGTCTAATTTATCTTTGATGTCCAAAAACACATCATCTGGTATATATTCTAAAAATAAAGATGAATACAGCTTTTTCTACTAGTTTTTTGTTTAACGGATCTTGAAATAGGTATACTTAAATTTTGTTCTTTGACGTTTAGCATTTCAAAAAAATAATATTAAGGATATATACCATCGTTATCAAAAGGTTCCTTTTTCTTGTCATCATCAGAATCATCACTATCAGAAATTTCTACTTCCATTGTGTGATCAGGAAAATCGCAATCTAATAATGATTTATTTTCCACAAAGGCTTCTACTAATTGCTGTAAATATAATTAATAATGTCAGTGTAATCTCTACAATCCTTTAGTACATTGTGTTAACATTTTTTTCGATATCTTCAATGAATAAAAGTTACCTGTTGATGTTGCAAAGCTAAGTAAAAACATTCTTGACATATCACACGTCTCTTTTTCTGTTTTTTCTCTTTTGTAATTCCATAATAGGCGCACGCAAAGGAAGATGCTGGTTTTAAATTTACTCCAGACTTACATTTAAAATTGATACAATCACTATTGCAGCTTTTAGATTTTCTTTTATTCGTTTTCTCATCATCAGACATTACTTCAATGACTTCCATGTTTTATGCTTATATTAATTCCTCACTTATATTGAGGACGTGTATTATCTGAAACAAAACACAAATATTGTGGGTTGGCGCAACACACTTTTTTCCAAATTATAACCTATCTACCTTCATAGTCTTTTCAATGAGAGAAAAGTCCGCGAACCGACAGGACGCGGAAAAAGTTCCCCACTCCTCCAACAGCGCTGTACTGTTCGCTGCAAGTCGTTAAGCCTCTTGCACAATGCGAGGACGGTTTGTTTATGCGCAATGCACAATATAATTGCGCATAATGACGGGTGAACCAATCAGACGGCGGCTCCATTTGCAGGCGCTCACTTCAAAATAAAACCGAGATGTAAGTTATTCTGCTCAACGCCACTTTGCGTTTTACGCTTTTGCAACATAGTTGCTAAGCGGTCGCGATATTTTGCAGCAAACTCAAAGTACCTAGGCTTAATAAGCACAGCGGAAAGTGATTGCGCGGCAAACTTTGACAAACTTCTAAGTCTTCGAGTAAATTAAAGATATTATTTACATTAATACCGTCCTTCATGACAACATGTATTATTTCTTCCATTTTTTTATTTTACTAATTAAAACTACTATAATAAAAGCATTGCAATTATAACAGAATGTGTTATTTATATTTATGTTATATATCTAAAAGTACGTAAAAACGTCACACAAGAACATTCGGCAGAACATTAAAGCTGCTGGGAACGAAGCGCAAAGCGATTGCTAAACGCTGACAAGAGAAGTGTACATTTGGTTGGTGATTTTGATGAACTTTTGCACACGCAAAGTATTATATACAAAATTTATTTTACCCTCAAAACTTTTTAATAAACTTTAGAAAGAAAAGAGTAAAAGAAATAAATTTCCTAAGAGTAAGTATTTAACTTTTCATTTATAAAATTCTTGACATAATAACGCGAAAGCCGATATAGATCAATCTTAACAATGTACAATAATGTCCATGAATATGCTACAGAGCTTTATTCTCACCATCTTTTTAAAATCAAAGCGAGAAATTAGGTTTTTATCTGAAATATACTTAATATATGCGAATTATATTTGTATTTTAAAAAAAGTTGTGACGATTTTTATACGCATAGAACACACTAGTCTCAAGGCAAATGCTAAATGCGTAATCTAAGTTGACACATATAATAATATTACTTTTGTCCTGTTGAAATATCCAGATCGATACAGTTGTAGAACATATTACTTGTCAAAAATCTGCTCAAAACCATCACGCTTGAGTCGAGCGTGACGCTACGCAAGTCATCACATATGTCTCTGCGTGAAATAAAAAGTACGAAATCTAAACGTTACAACTAGGTAAAAGAAAATATATTTTCCAATAAATAATTTTAAAATTTCGATTATTACTACTTCTTCCGCCTGTGTTATTAATTTCCTCGCAACAAATCTTTTATATCTTCGCGAGCGCAAGACATTTAAAAATACTTTATTGAAAATATCGTTAAATTTTTGTTATATTATCTCAACTATATACTTTCAGAAAAACATAGATAAACTGAAATGTCTTCTGGATAAAACAGTTTTTAACTGACTGTCTATTGAATATTAAAACTACATGTTTTGAAACTTATATTTCTATACATATGTATACGTAATATACCTTAAGTAAGGTCGTTTCCCCCAATACAGGAGTTTACATCGTGATATGTATTTATTATTTCACGGAAACAACTGGCTTATAGTTATCGATTATCTCTCGAACAGGCATAATCACGGATATTTTCAGGCAATTCGTTTTTGACCATATATAGCGATAATACGTATAAAGTAGTGTTCAAGATTTATATTTTAGAAGATAATTATTATGTAAAACATGGTAAGTTATGAAAAGCTCGTATATTATTTGTAGAATACAATTTTGTTTTTTATATCTTCTGGTTTTAATCATACACTAAAACAATATGGAAATCGTTTTTTTTTACTTTACAATTAAAAAATTCATATCTACTTTATTTTATCAATTATTGTACAAATCTTACTACTTCTTAATGCTCCATAGATTAATATTACATAAATATTATTACGATCTAAAATTTTAATTGTACATTGAAGTAATAATTGCAATGTGTGACATACTAAATAATTAAAACGCGCTCACAGAACGGAAAAAAACGTTTCGAGTATAATTTTGTTTCTAAAAATATCTACCATCTTAAGCTTAAAAACGTTTAACACACTTTCTACTTTTCAATCTTCAATTTTCTTCTTACATGTCAAGTTGATAAAAACAACGTATTCATGACAACCAATATGTGAAAGTATGTATACGCGTACATGAGAAATATAAAAACATCGCAACTTACTGATAAACATATCCTACAACGGTCATACACCCTTGACCTTTATATCTGAAAAAGCAAACATTTAATTTGTACATACTAAATGTGTCTGTTACATTTGTATTTGCGTATGTAATTCTTGTTTAATAACCAAACACATTTTATAGATTCACAGTACGCAAATGTTTACATTCTTTGGAATTTTATGCTTACTATTTCTAACCGGAATTGTTTCTTCAACTGATGAGAATTTATCTCAAGTACCGCAGTGTTACCACCCAATAGAATATCGTATAAATGTTTCTGCAAACGTACAAAACAATTCTCTCACTGTTGATTCTCGTGTCAAACTGAACGTTTCATGTGTACTGCAAGATATACGATTATATTTCGGTCGTTCTTGTAACAAATTATATGATGGTAACGTCGATATCAATGTCTATAATTCGTATTGGGAATACATGCTATACTCTGATGAAAACCAATTGGTCATTGATATTAGCCTTAAAAAAGAATATCAAATGAACTCTAAAAAAGAGATGCGTAAAGTAGATATAATACCTGGAATATACTGGATAAATATGAGATATGAGTGCATTTTAGATATAGGTGCAACGATCTTTCCATATGTACATCAAAACAAAAAAGAAACGTAAGTAAACAATACTGCAGTATTTTTTTTTCGTTTTGTAGAAAAAATACTATGTATAAACTTTAGTAGTTAAATAACAATGTATTTATATAATATACGTTTCATTATATAGATATTTGATTTTGCCGCGTATTCCCGCTGACTGGATATTTCCGTATTGGAATAATTTCGCAATTAAGGCTAACTTCACAATTCAAGTTAAACATGATTACGGTGAAAAAGTTCTATCAAATATGCTTGGTGAAGAAATAATGCAAAACTATCAACTTTATACTTTATTTCGTACGACACCTAAAATATCCACTCATTTGGTAGCAACAGCAATCGTACCTTCGGAGTGTATTACACATGCCTACGTGTTAAATACATGTACTATACAAAGCAGATTCCAAGTGAAAAACTACATTTCATACGCAGTATTTCTTATAAAAGAGTTTACGACATTGATCGGACACAAGATAAAGAACAACAAATCAGTATCACACGTGCATTATGTAGCACTGCCAATAAATTCCTACAATTATGAAACTATAGTAACTACTGGATTTGTTCTCTTTAGGTAAGATAAATATCTCAAAACACAAAATTAGCTTAAAAAAATCTTACATATTATGGAAACGACAAAATTGCTGTAAGGACAATATTATTTTTAGAGACGCTAATATCGCGTACAATATAGAGGTAGATTCGATTATAAAAAAAAAAGAAGTAACACTTGTAGTTGTGCGCAGTGTGATNCAANAAATGTTAAGTGAATGGTTACTTACGTTAAAAGACTCTGATTCTTGGTTTATAAAGAGTTTTTTGACATTTTACGGAGTTTATGTAATCGATCAGGTAAGTCTGGCATGTGAAATGTATTTCATAGATGATAGTAAAATATATAGTATAATAAAACATATTAG